CTCAACTGCAAAGGCTGGTTTTGGTAGAACTCTGGATCACCGTGCCATGAGTTATAGACAGTTCAATGTAAAGCAGCAGGTTGAATTATCTGCAGGCCACTATACAAGCATTGGGCACACAAACCAGAACTATGGCTCAAAAATATGAAAGTTTAGTAAGAAGGGTGGTTCAACATTTATGCTGCAGCAACTCATCTAACAAACGGTGTCTCCAACTCATAAATGCATCTAGTAACGTTCCATAAAATGGCATAAAACAAAGGACTTGAAGGATTTCTGTCAATAACTGTTTCTAAAGTACTTGAATTTCTTGTAAAACTGAGACACAACTGCTAAATCCTAATCATGAATTCCCATTTTATTTTGTTTTCCAGCTCCATTAAAGACGGTCATCAAACAGAGCAGGATCGTTCAGGCTGGGTGGAGATCATCAGATAAGTTCTCAAACACAGATAAACACTATAAACGAGTCTGGTAACCACAAACAAAACACAGGATGAGCAATGTCCCGAGAGACTCGAGGATTTGAAGTCTAAACAGGAATACTGCGTTTAATCTACAGATTTGCCCATTTATTCACCAAACATGCAGTCCACAAGATTTACTGTAAATACAAAAAAGTGGGAAGAATTTAGCTCTCGAAATGAACAAAACTGCAACAAAAACAGAGAAAACTCACGTCCAGACTCTCAGGCTAACGTTTATACAGAAAAACGTCAATTTAGAAAATCAAATTCAAACGAGAGGAATTGAATTTTCTGCAACAATGCATGACTGACTTTGCTGAAATGTACTGAAGAAGCTGAAACTGGGTTATTAAAGCTCAAAAGCAAAATGATAGCTAAAATAAAAAGCCATCGGAGTCAAAACACTTGCTAAAAGCCAAAATGGGATAAATACCAGCTACTAAAAGTAGTAAAAAGGCTAGCTAAAAACCCAAAGTAACAAAATGTTATAGAAAACTAGTAAAAGACTAGCTAGAAGCTAAAAGTAGCAAAGGACTAGCTGGAAGTAGCAAAAGTCTGGCTAAAAGCAAAAAGTATTAAAAAACTAGCTAATAATAGAAAAATGATTGATAAAAGTTAAAATAACAAACGGCTGGCTGAAAGCTTTAAATAGTAAGAAGTTATAATTAAACAGCAAACAGCTGGCTAAAAGCTAAAGTAGCAAACAGCTGGCTAAAAGCTAAAAGTAGCAAAAAGTTCTAGAAAAGCAACAAGACCTATAAGCAGAAGCAGATTGATTGTAACATAAATAACCAATAAACTGGGAAAATAACGTTGCATTTGCTGACTCATTAAACTTGGGACGTTTTTTACTTGAGAGTAGGGGAGTTCGTTTTGCGTTTTAAAAAAAGACGAATTACAAGAAAATCTGCAACATGTTTCTTCTTTCTCTGTTAGTTTTATCGAGGGGAGGCAGGGCTGATATGGAAGGCCAAAACAACACGGGGACCTGAGGCTGCATCATGTGACGCTCGACAAAGTTCAGTGGGCCGACAGAAACTTCCTGCTTCATTTGCTTTTGTGTATTTTTTTCCAGTTATGCCTGAAGTCCAGTCATTGAGCTTAAAGTTAAACTTCACGCGTAATAATTAACGAGAGGTACATCTATACTTTTTAATCAGTTTACAACTTTCATATTATCTAACATGTATTCTCTTGAATAAGTTTTATTGCTTCTGAAACGCTTTTCTCGTCGCCCGTCTAAAAGGTCATGTGACGCCGACCCGACGGTCCGGTGAAAACGTACAACGCACATCAAAGACGACAAACCTGCACATTCGCCGTCAGCGACTGTCACGTACTTGCTGCCGTCTGAAACTCTTATGATACGACTGTAACGTGGTCGAGCAAAATTAAAAAAACGTGCACGCTCCAACGCGACTGGATGCTATCACCGTGGTAACCGATGCCAAGCAGCAGGTGAGAGGAACTCGAGAGGTTAGCGGGGGGTCGGGTCAGCGCAAATATGATCACATAAATTCATCAGAACCTGACGACAGGTCACACAGATACAGTCGGAGGTGCTAAGATTAATTTTTTTTTAATCAGCTCACATTATATACCACTCCTAGTAAATTAGTTTTATTTGTGATATACCAACTAAAAAAAAAAAAAACCAACAGATAAGGTTAATCTGACATGACTTCAAAAAAGTTGACAGTGATGTCATCTTGTTCGTCCTTCAGTTTATTATAAAATCAACTTTATTTGGTTTAAATCCAAAATTCTCTTGTTTTTAACAACTATTGTTTTATACGATAAAACCCAAGAAAAGAAAACAGTCATAACTGTTAAACACGGTCCAAGTTATTACTTTGAGGTGTTAAAAACGTTATTTTGTTCTGTTTATCTGACTGAAAAAAAGCAAAGAGCTGAAAGTGTTGCCTCTGACGACAAACCTTCAAACTCAGGATTTCATCCGGAGTCAGATCTCGAGGGCAACTTGCATCAAATGTCTGTAAAACTTTGATCCTGTGCAGTGATTGTAACTTTCCCTGCAGGAAGATTTGTGTTTGTGTGTGTTTATGTAGATCTGCTGCATGTCGTTGCCAGAACCTCCCACCTTCCAGACACTTAAGAGGAGCTGGAGTCGTTTCTTAGCCAAACGCCACACAGCAGCGAGCATCTCTGCAGAAACTTAACTTTTGTTCTGTTGTGGTGCATTTGTTGAGGTAACGCTGTGTGACACGTTGAGGGAATTTACCCTGTTTATACCGTCCAATCAGATAAATCTGATATTGAAGAGGCAGAAAAAAGGCATTCCTCACTGATCCAGACACGAGAAACGTATGTGGGGAGTTGATATCCATGAGACTTTATGTCCCAGAAAGGTCAAACACATGTGAGACATAGTCAGTCTGGTCACATCATGGAGGAATGTGTGAACATCCCAGTGCGTTTCTGCCAAAGGTTAGGAGAGACACTTTCAATCCCAAGTTCATATATATATATATATATATATATATATTGAATATATATATATATTCCTGGTTTTAGTTTTCTGCACCGCCTTATAATCTAGCTGTTTTTTTTTTCTTGCTATTTTTCCTTTTGACTGTCCTTTTGGTTGCCATTTTCTTTTGATTTGTAATAAATAAATAAATAAATTTGTACATTTTTTTTATGACTGTCTATTGTTGTCGTCGTTATCCACTGTTGTCATCACTCTTAGGTCTCTCTTGTAAACGAGTCCCCGAGACTCCGTGGGATTTAACTTGTATAAATAAAAGGTTGAACGAATAAAACAAATTGTTTAGCTCATTCAGTAAATGGACTTTGGGATTTTGTAACTTTAAGTATTTAATTTTATTTATAAAAACATCTCCCGTAGAAAAAACAACCCTTCGCTTACTTTAAAAATATTCATTTCTGCAAAATGCAACGCGAAAGAAACCTGCAACAACATCCCTGCTCCAGTTTTGTCGTCTTATGTTACATTTAATTTTTAACTAACATTCTGCTACTTTTGGCTTCTAATTAGAAATTAAATACTTTTAGTTTCTAGCTATGGTTTGCTAATTTTAGCTTTTAGTTACCGTTTTGCTACTTTCAGCTTCTAGCTCCCCTTAAGCTACTTTTATTTTTAGTTATTTTGCAACTATTAATAACGGCTGTGGCAGAGTGGTTAGAGCTGTCGTCCTCCAATGCAAGAGTTGAGGGTTCGAATCCACCAATAGTCACATGCCCAAGTGTCCCTGGGCAAGACACCGACCCCCTCATTGCCTCCGATGTGTGTCCCGTAATAAAGCACTGATTAGTCTTTGTATAGATCTAGTAGTGAGCTGTATGAACAGGTAAGTGAGGAAACAGATTCTAGTGTAAAGAGCTTTGAGTAACTTAATTAGATAGAAAGTACAGTTCATTTATATAGTTAGCATTCTATCTTTTTATAACTTCTGCAATTTGGCCATTGCTGTGAAACTTTTAACCATTTTCCACTTTAAGTGATTATTTTTTTTTTTTTTTCTTTTTGCTAAAGTTCTGCTTCTTTTAACTTTGACATCAGTTTCAGGTTCTTCGGTACCTTTTAGCAATCGTTCAAAATGTCTTCGGTTGACGTTTCTGTTTTGGGAGTTTAATCAAATCACTTCCTACACATTAAACGTTTTAATTTAGAAGAGTCGACAATAATTATCCGCCTTGTTTCTCTTTCGGCCGTTCCATTTTCAGGGGTCGTCACAGTGAGTGAGTCATCTTCATTGCAACCATCTTCAACAATAATTTTCCTATATCACAATATGAATAAATGGAGACTACCTTATGACAAATGCATGATGCTCAAAGGAACCACAGTGAGAACCCTTAAACAGGGACAGCGGTTTCCGTGTCCCCCTCTCTTGTGCTGTTATTGCTTGCATCACTCAGCCCTCTGTGAATAGCAAGCGGCCATCAGGGCACCAGTGATGGGTCGTTAGGCTGATGGTCCTCAATTATCATGTGAACAGCTGGTTCTAACTGGTTGATCGTCTATGAGAAGGTGCTGCTCATAAGACTGAGTTTGCTTGCCTCAGCCTGAAGAAGTCCTTTGGATAAAAGACGAAGCATTTCAACAAAGAAGAACTCATCCAGAGGACCTGACCCAGCCTTGTTAGATTCATCTACCTGGATTATTGAGCATGCATCAGGGCATTTCTGTGTGGACTTAACAGGAAGTCCATTCATCATTCACAAGCTCAGTTACAAACTTGTTTTTTTTTTTTTTTTTTTTGCTGACTCATTGAACAGAACTGATCACACGGTGTTAATTCTCAAGCTGCAGTCTAAACTGTGTCAGTCTGTCAGACCTGTAACCAAAACTACAGACTCAGATTATACGGTCTAATTAAAAAATAAAAAAAGTTAATTCACGTTCTAGTCACAAAGCTGCACACTTGGAGGTAAACACGCACGGTTCTGTTGGCACAAATCCTGGCGGAAAACCATAAAGGTGACTCAGGTCTCATGACTCAGGAGGTGATCCTCTCTCATTACAACCATGACAGGATTCCCACAAACCTTTCTTGAACTCCTCCAGCATGGCGTCCAGCTTAGTGTCGTGGAAGACAAAGTGGACCGGGTGGTTGTAGAACTTGGTGATGGTCTTCAAAGTGGTGCAGTCGTCTGGGTCCACGAAGGCCAGGTCCTTGACGAAAAGGATGTCCACGATGTTGGACCTCTCGTTGTCGTACACGGGGATCCTGGTGTACCCGCTCTCCATGATCTCAGACATGGTGTTGAAGTCCAGCACCCTGTCGCTGCTCAGCATGAAACAGTTGCTGAGAGGAGTCATGACGTCCTCCACTGTTTTGGTCCTGAGCTCCAGCGCTCCTTGGATCATGTTGAGCTCCTCTTTGACCAGGTCGTTGTATGGTTCCGTCACCTTCAGCATCTCCACCAGCTTCTCTCGGTTGTACACGGTTCCGATCTCCTGGCCCAGGATGCGGTCCAGGAGCTTGCTGATGGGCCAGGACAGGGGGAAAGTCAGCAGCATGAAGAGTTTGGTGAGCAGGATGGTGTTCGCCCCCACGGCCAGGCCGTGCCGGGAGCACAGCGCCTGGGGGACGATCTCCCCGAAGATAACGATGCCCGAGGTGGAGGCCACCACCGCCCCCAGGCCGGAGCCGATCAGGTCGTCCAGGAGGATGGTGAGGGTGGTGTTCACCAGGACGTTGCCGAGCAGCAGCGAGCACAGCAGGTAGTTGCCCTTCCTGCGGATGGGCTCGATCTTGCGCGCGTACTTCTTCTCCTTGTCGGTGCCGCAGCTCTGCACGATGCGGAGCTCCATGGGGTCCAGCGCCATCAGCCCCAGGTTGAGCCCGCTGAAAATCCCCGACAGCACCAGCAGGCAGCAGATGAGGATCCCCTGGAACCAGAAGGGCAGCAGGGACTTCTTCTCCTCCACCACCTGCAGTCTGCCGTCCTTGTCGTCCAGCAGGTGCCACTTCTGGTCCAAACCGTCGCGGACGCACAAGCGGAACATCTTCACAACTTCGCTCTTCCGAAGCTCTTTGATGCTGAGGCTGACAACCCCGGACGTGTTTTGGTTGCTCACCTCCATGAGTCCATTCACTACAACATCGTTCGTGTGTTCGGGACAAGTCCTATTCAACGAAGCCACGCTCGCGCCGAAAGCTTCGTTCTCCTTGTCGTAAAGTCCCGTGAACCTGAGGAGCTCCGAGCTGCTTGGAAACAAGTGGAGCCCGTAGAACCTGAAGAAGGTCTCGCTTCCCTCGGTCACCTGGATATCTCCAGTCTTGGTGGTCTCGGCCGGCTTGCTGCTGTTCTCCAGCCTCATGCCGAGTATCCGAGTGACGCCTCTCGGCTCTGGAACCGCTGCCTCGGCCTGCCTGTCCAACACCGCACAGAAAAACACGAATAAAATGAGCTGAAACCCTAGTCCGCTCCGGACCGTCGCCATGTTTGTTTCGAACGCTGACAACGGGGGAACTGACGTCAACTACTCCTTCCCAGAAGCCCGCCCACCTCATTTACATAATAAAAATCAGCCAATAGCTGAACGATACGTCACTCAAACTTTGGGCCGAGCCCCTCGGTTTGAATTTCTTTTAAGGTCGACTGCTTTGTTTTACTTGTTAAGGTGGAGCTTACCAAATTTACGAGCGTTTCTTTGACAACACAGCACTGCAATGGAAAAATAACAAACATTGCTCTTTTAATTATATAGTATATGTATAATGATATATATTTATGCAAAGGTAAATTAAACAGGGAAATGTTCAATTAATTTCTAAGAATGTGGTAAAGAAGATGCATTCCTTGTTTTGAAAACCTTATCTCAGACAGTGATGTGACCTTCAGAAGATTTAAGCAGAAAGAAAAAAATCTAATTAAATAAAGTAGCCCAGCTTTTTTATATTGGATATAATCTAATTTACACTTACCTTTTGTACATTCATTTAAAAATTAAAATGAAGTCTTACTGTATTGCCACAGAAGACTAGAAGTGTAACCAGCAACAAGTGAGATTAGATTATTATCTACATGTACTATAAAAATAAACAAAATAATAATAAGAAAGACCACATGGAACAGAGGATATTTACTTTACTCTTTTATTGCTTTGTCAATTGATAGATTTTAAGGGACACAAAAGAATGAGAGTGGGAGATGATAGCTTTTTCCTCTGAGTTTATTTTTCCCTGCAGAGGTGTAAAAAAGTTGAAGCTAGTTATGCAAACGAAAGCAGTCACCCAGCAGATGTGTGTGTGTGTGCACAAAACAGTCCTTATGATGTAAAATATAAATAAATAAATAAAACCTTGAAGTCTCCAATAATCTCTTTTAACCTGGAGAAGACGTTTTTGAGCCATCCTGTGTTTTGGCGCTGGACCCAACCTTAGAACAGAACTGTCACACTTATGACTGGCTATAATTTAGACAAATAAAGTCATGGAATATATGCATTAATCTGAATAAACAAAATGTGTTAGAATTCAACATAATTACCAGTTCGCTGAGGTTATACCGCCATCTGGTGGTCAAATCAGGAACCACCAGGTTTCAATGTTTTGAGCTGCAAATATTTTCCAAGTTATTTATATTTCAATCAACCTTTATTTATAATATTTCCATTCAGGTTGGTGTCCACGTGCTCTCACCAGCATCACTGCATTTCTGTCCCGGATTAACATGTAAAGGAGAAGGTAAACCAGTCAAACCATCTTGCACCGTGTGATAAGGATTATTATTGTCAGCTTGTCTGTGTTCTAAAAAAAAAAAAAACTAAATAAATGTTTAGTTAGACTTTTTCCAAAACACACCAAAAGTTAATTTTTGACTTGACTAAAGATAACAGATTATAATCTGATGAACGCTGCAGTGAATTACAGATTATATGAGCACGCAGAGACATCACGTTCAGAACCAAGGTTTTGTGTTGCTCTTCTCTGGGTTCTAAATGTTCTCTGGATGCTCGGAGTCATAAATAAAATGGTTTTAATCAGCATTAGAAAAACTCATCCTTCTTTGGAAACCCATTTCTATTTAGAAGAAATCCTCAATTGTTTATAGTTTATTTATTTGGGTTCTCATTAGCCATTGCCATAACTCTTGGGGTCCACATCATAAAAAAAAAAAAAACATTTATTACACACACTTAATATAACATTGGCAACATAGCATAATATGATTATTAATTCATAAATGTAAAATCATAACACTTTGCGTAATAAAATAATTTAGCAGGGACTTTTTAAAAGCTCTAGCAATTTAACACAGATGAAGGGAGAGTTCCAGGTTTTCTTTTATTCCAGCACATTTGAGGGATTGATTTTAATGGTATGTGATGTAAACATCTTTTTATAACAGCTAGTTGTCTTCCCATCACTGCAACAATGAATTCAATCTGGTGAGACCTCTCCAATCTGCTGTCCATAATAATTCCCAGAAGTCTAATTTATTCTTCCTGAGTCATGGCTGTTCCATTTATAGACAGGTTTAATTTGGGCTGAGTTTTTAATTTCTAATTTGATCCAGATGTTATGCTTTTGGTTTTATATGTTTAACACCAATTCATTTGTATGCACCTAATTTACAAGTGGCTTAAATTCGCTGGCCCAGGTTCTGGACAGTGTCTCAACAGATGAACCTGACACATATATTGTGGTATCATCAGCATAGATCATTATCCTGACATGCTGCAGGACAAAAGGCAGGTCATCATCTATGACACTGAAAAATGGAATTATAAGTTAAATGACTTTTTAACAATTAATATGACTTTAAAACTTGTAGTTATGATGAGAAACGTTAAAGATTTATACATGGGACACAGAGCCTTTTCTCACTCTGCTCTCCAACTCTGGGACCCCCCCCCCCCCCCCCCCCCCCCCCCCACACACACACACACACACATCTGTAATATTGACTCCCTTCAAATCACAACTCATCTGTTCAAGTTAGCCTTCTCACTTTCACTTTTTCTTATTTTCTTAGTGTATTTATAGCCATTTTGTATTGTTTTATTTGGTGTTTTTAATGTTGTGAAGTGTCGTGAAAGGCGCTAACAAATAAAATGCATTATTTTTATATAGCAGTTATGTTTTATTTTACGATCATGACTTTGTCCTAAAACATGACTGAAATGAAAAATTCTCAAAATTACCTTCAGTGAAATAAATATATTGTGTTTAACAATTCTTAATTTTTTTTTTTTTTTTTTTAGAATAATAACGTTGAGTTTGCAAACTGTTACTTGAACTGTTGCTTGTATTAAATATTAGTTTTATAATTTTTAAGAAAGAAAGAAAGGAAGAAAGAATAAAATAAATAATTAAATATGACTTTGTTAGTTTTTGTCACATGGTTTGGAACCTGGAATGCAAACAGACACAAGGAGGTTGAGTAAATAAGTAAATAAGTAAATAAATAAATAAATAAAAGGTTGTTGGAGATCAAAAACAACAGTACAGAACATGAAGATACTTGGAGGTGACACAGATATGGAGTCAAGCTCAGCCCAATGCTGGACTGAAGGTGAAAGGAAAGTGAGGGACTTCAGGGACGGGGGGTGGGTGGGGGGTGATAAATGGAGACACCTGGACAAGATGACAACTGAGAACAGGTGAGAGTGGGCGGGGCAGGAGCTGAGGAGCAGAAACTGACTCAGGTAGAGAGAACTGGTGTTAATGGGAAAAAAAGAAACACTCAGAACAAAATAAATGTAAAAATAACAAACACATAATCAGAAACTGAAACTTAATAAACATGTTTTTGTAACTAATAATTAAGACTTTATGTAAAAATTTTTTTTTGACTTTTTATCGAACAAATCTTGTTTTTCTTTTAGCACAGAGAGTTCTCCTCCTCCATCTCACTCTGCGTCCTCACCTCCATGTTTCTCTGCCTTTTCCTTCTACCTCTGGTCTTTTCGTCAACGCCACCGTCCCCAGACTTTGTGTCTTATATATTTTTCTTCTTCTTTCGGCTGCTCCCTTCCTCAGGGGCACCACTGCGTGCTCTCACAAAGACTTGGCAGTTGTTTTTATGCCGGATGTCCTGACCCAACCACAGAGCACCGAGGTACCACAGCCCTCTCTGTGGAGCAGAGGGCTGCCATCTAAGGCGCCCGCAGGAGCAGATGGTGGCCTTGCTCAAGGGCCCAGGGTGGGGGAAAAATAAGAGTGGAGGCAGGTGTGGATGCTCCATCTTTAAAAACCACTTTTTTATGTTGTTGGTCCGGGTAGTCAAATCTGCAACAGATCCCAGGCCCACATTCTCTAACCTCTGCACCACCACGCCCCCATTCAAACTTTGTGTCATACCAGTGGCATTACCCTATCATA